AACGAAACGCCCACAAGATCAAATCAAAAAATCTACATGATACACATCTCAACTTCATCCCATAGATTTTTAAACAAATATACTCACTGCAAGAGACATGGCAATTTCACAAAATTCACAGTATATACAAATATACAATCACAATCACAGTCCTTCTCTCCCCAGCCAAACTCAAATTCTTTAGCCACAATCACACATGTCTCAAATTCCACAAAACCTTCAACCGAACAAAACTCACAACAACACAACGGAGGCAATTTAGATGTACAAAACAAGCATTCTCTACATCTACACCTAATTTATCAAATGAAACCCTAAGCCCTAATTCAAAAGCTATTCAAGAATTGAGAAAATCGAAGCCCTAATAGAAGAAATTTACCTAATAGTTGGGAAGGAGGTCCGACGGCGGTCCGGTGTCGAAGATTTTCGGTCGAAATTTTCCTGCGATTCTTCTCTCTCTCTCTCTCTCGCTCTCCGTTCTCTCGCTCTCTGTTTTTTCTGCTGAGGGGTTGCTGATTTTCTGTTCGCGTAAAGGGGGAAGAAGAAAATTTTCGGATTTATATTTAAAAGAAAAACGTATTCGCCGAATACGTTTCTTACCTAATTATTTGTAAAACGTATTCGGCGAATACGTTTTGAAAATAAGAAAAAAATGGTAGAGGCTCCCAGATTGGGGACTCGAAACCGGGTCAATGGGTGAGCCCAGTTTCTCTGGGCGCACCTCGTACCATTGTGCCGGCAGACACTTTCCGATAATTTTTGTACAAAATATATACATATTCATACTAGTATATATAATATGATATAATATATATCATATAATATAATACATAATATAACTATATATAAATATTATACTTTATAATATAATATATAATATAACTCTATATTAATATACTTATTATATAATATAACTATATATTAATATACTTATTATATAATATAACTATATATTAATATTAATATACTATAGTATATTATAATATAATATATAATATAACTATATATTAATATACTATACCATATATTAATATACTATACTATATATTATAACTATATATCAATTGGACTGAAATTGACTTCAATTGTACGAATTTGACTTCAATAATACTAATTTGACTTCAATTGTACGAAATTGACTTCAATTGTACTAATTTGACTTCAATTGTACGAAATTGACTTCAATTGTACGAAATTGACTTCAATTGTACGAAGTTGACTTCAATTGTACGAATTTGACTTTAATTGTACTAATTTGACTTCAATTGTACGAAATTGACTTCAATTGTACGAAATTGACTTCAATTGTACGAAGTTGACTTCAATTGTACGAAATTGACTTCAATTGTACGAAGTTGACTTCAATTGCACGAATTTGACTTTAATTGTACTAATTTGACTTTAATTGTACGAAATTGACTTCAATTGTACGAAATTGACTTCAATTGTACGAAGTTGACTTCAATTGTACGAAATTGA